TTGCGTTGGGCTAGGTGCAAGATGCAGAGTCACAGTGACCCTTGGATGTTTTTTTTCTATTACCTGCTGGGAGGGGCTGGTAGAAACCTCACAACATCCCCATCTGGAAGGCTACAGACTCAGGCCTCTCTCTCAAGTGTACTGGGAGCAGAGGTTCATGCTAAGTACACTATTAAACATTCCTGAAACATATATAAGTCAAATATTCTAAAATTTTGTGACCTGTTTTCTTTTCTAAAGAGTATTTAGTAATTTGTCATCCTGTCTTTCTTGATGCTAAAGATCCATCCTGATGCACTTATGATGAGACCAAGAGCGGAGCATTATTGCTCTGTTTTCTGAAAGGAGAGCCCATAGAAAGTCTTCTTCTCTGGGCCTAGCCTATGGTCTCTCTGGAAGATAGAGGAGAATGCAGTTAAAACTAAATGCACATTTTAAAGTCATCCACCTATAGCACAAGACCTAAACGCACAGTATCCCAGCACCCCAGATTTTAGGAACATAAAGTCTGCCCTGCTCCATGGCTACCCTGCCTCAGCACGGATGGAAGAAAAATAGTGGTGACAGCCAGTGCTGCAAACTAGAGGCTGCAGCCACAGCTCAAAATCCAATGTGATATACCTTTGCCTCAGGGTCCAACTCCTGGGCTGTAAGCCAGGAACCTTGTGACTGTCACATATGGTCACTTGTGTCCTGGGAACAGGGAGGCAGACAATGATATGCAAAGACCATGAGATTCAGAGCCAGAGAGGTTGGAGTTTGATTCCTGGCTTAGCTGACAAAGTGATAGCACAGTGAGGTCTCCTTGAGACTCAGTCTTCCAATCTGGGAAATGGCAATGCTGAAGCCATCCCATAGAATGGAGGAGGGGATAAAGATCAAGTGGCCTGCAGATGGTAGGTGCTCAGTGAAGTTAAATTTTTGCCCTTGCTATCCCAACTTCCTGGATTTCTGGCTTCTAGGAGACAGGCTCCTTTGCCCTGGGGTTGGAGGTCTTGCCACACTCACTGCTCCACCAAATTCCATCAGCCCTCCTGGGACTCATTCACTGAAGAACTCACAGCCTGTACTAGAAGGACCAGCTGGGTAGCATATGGCCATCAGGGTTGTCAGTGTCTGCTCATGTGACCCCTGCTGTAAGACCCACTGGGTGGATGGTCAGGAAGTCCTGGTGGGTGTCACAAGCACATATCTTTCAGCCTGCTTCATAAGCTTGACCACTGGTATCCATCCAATACAATTCCAGAGTGATGTAGAATTTCATCTAGCATTTTTTTCCCCTTAGTTATCTCTCAGGATGGAGATAAGACCTCCACCAACCACAGTAGGGACCTGATTCCACCAACGTTCCTGCAAGAGACCAGACTTGAAAGGTACGAGTCTTGGTGTTTCCTTCCTTAAAACTTGATGACAAGTTTTAAGCCAGATGATTGTTGCAATCCTAGGTCCTCAGTACAGAATCCTGTATCAGAGGCCAATCGGAGAATTTAGAGGAGAAATAAAATTGATCAGGATCAGCAAAGGCCCTCCCAAATGCAAATGTATATGACATTTCTTGTGAAAAGGCAGTTTGGGTGAACAAGAAGCTTGGATAGTCATTGCCAAAACCAAAAATGTGATTTAAGGCCACATACATAGAGGTACTACATTTAGAATAAGGCAGATGTAAAACCCTCTGTGCTTAGAGCTACAATTTGATCTGAAACAGAAGGGACTCTGACAGATGGATCTCTTCAGGGTCATAGCAGGGAGGGGACTGGAATCGCAAGTTAGGCTTGGGACTGTCCATTCAGGCAAACAATGGTGGGGGACACGCAGGCCGTGAAAGGACTGGTAGCTAGAAGAGGAAGTAGTTCCCTTTAAGAGAATGTGATCTGAGGTGGCCAAGTCTGGCCCCACAAGGAAGCGCTTATCAAGGAAGTTCAAGGCTTCTTGGGGTGGGGCATGACCTGTTTTGGAGGTGGCGAAGTTGGCCACACGGACAGCATGCAAGCAAGGTGACATGGCTATCTATCACAGATGCTGCTGAAGGGCAGGGGTTGGACCCAGTGATCTTTGAGTCAACCTCCAGATTCCCTGATTGCTGTAGTTTGGATCACAACGGTCCTCCAAATGTCCATATGGTAAAGGCTTACCCCTGGGGGAGGAGGTGGTAGTGGGAAGTGGGGCCTGGCTGGAGGTCTTTAGGTCACTGAGACATGACCTTGAAGGAGACTGTGAAGCTTTACCCACTTTGTCCTCTCTCTTTGGCTCCTGGCCATGAGATGAGTGGATTTCCTTCACCACTGCCATAGACTCAAAACTTATCATAGGCTAACTTGTCATAGAAGGAAACCTCTACAACTGAGCCAAAATAAATCTTTTCTCTTTATAAGTTGATTATCTTAGCTATTTGTTATAGTAACAGAAAGCTGACTAACCCATTGATAAAGCACACCTGGACTTTGACCATCAAGGATTCTCACCTACCTTCTCCCGGCTGCTGTGGGCAGTCAGGGAGCGGTGGGCTGCCCCTCGCAAGGCTGTCCTGTAGTTGCAGAAATTCCCTGTTGGGTCCATCTGGTGCTGGAAGAAGACAGGGAGGCATTTGGGCACCTCTTTTCATGGGCCCGCTGGCTGAACCCCTTAGCCCAGCAACCTTGTTTACCTCCAGGATGAAAAACTTGGCTGTCTTCACTTTGGCCCAAGTCTTCTTCAGTCTGGAGACAGGGCTCATGTTCATGCCAGCTGGAAGAGGGAGGGGTGGGCTGGGGAGGGCTTCTCTGGCCTGGACAGTCCCCCTCACGCTCATGAGCAGGGAGGTCAGTGTATAGCTACAGTTGCCCAGCCATTTAGGCTGAGTCCTAAGTACGGCTAAGGTCTGCAGTGGCCTCAGCTTGGGAAACAATGGGCATGTAGCAATGGACAATGAGGGTCCAGCTTGTGTGTGTGTGTATAAACTCTGACCATGTTCCCACATTCAGGCCCCATCCTGGAATTAGTTCCTTCTCATTCTCTTTGGATCTGGGGATATGTTGCCAAGCCCTCACCAAGCACCCTAAGGAGGCTGAGTTTGCCTCAAAAGAGGTGCTTTCTCCAGGCCTTTGGGGGAAGGGAAATGGGATTGCTGGCTGCCTCAGGCTGCAAACTGCTAAGCCCACACCCACCTGCTGCTCAGAAGAGGGTCTGGGCTTGACCCCACCTGCCTGGCTGTGCCGACCTGAACCTCTTTGAGGATCCTCCCATGGGGGGGGGGCTCCTGGAGCAACCCACTCACATATAATGGCCATCAGGGAGTTGAAGTTGCCAATGTTGAAGCACTCTCGGGCCACGTCAATGAAGAACTCGATCACCTGGGCCCTCTGCTTCTTCTTGGCTGGCTGGGGACAGGGCACCAGAGCCTTAGTGATATGTTTCTACCCTGCCCTAATCAGACACCCTGCTCACCTGCCCTGCCCTCTTCACCTTCTTCAAATCTATTTCACAGCTGAGCTCCAGGGAACTGTCTGAACCTTAAGGTTTCAAAGCTCTTCACAGGCAGAGCAAGGACATAGTCCACTGCCAGGGAGACAGCTGAGCCCTGCTAGAGCTCCTGTCGGGGTACAGGAGTGACTTGCAGCACAGGATGGGCTGTGAGGCACCTCTGGGAGCAGCTTGATCACTCTTCCTCAAGGCCCACCTCTAGCACCTGTTCTTTTCCCAAATCAGAACGCCTTGCCCCTTCCCTTTCCTCCCGGCACTGAGCTTGCTCTCCCCTCACTAGGGGCCACATGCAGATCCTGAGGCCCTGTCCCCTGAGCCCCTCCACTGCATGGCTCAGAAACCAACTGTGTCCTTCCCCTGAGCCATCCTGTACTATCCTGGGTAGGCTCCTGGGTGACCATGTGGGCTTAGTCCAGGCTTCACAAAGATAAAATCCCATTTTAACTGCCAGACCAATGGTGTGACTGTAGGAAGAGGGCTGGGTCAGTGATACCCTATATTGTATTTTTTTTTCCACAAGTAGACTTTACTTGCCTATGAAACATACAGCAATTATCTATTGCCACCAAGAAGTTTGCTCTGGCCCCTGTGGGGATATGCCACAAGCCCCCTTTAAGATGTGATGTTGGCTTTGGAGAGCCACCTATCATTGATCCTATCCTTCAAAAGGGCAAACTCATGGGTAACACTGATCTCAAACCAGGTGGGGGATAAAACCACCTCAGTCTATGTGGGCATTGCAGATCAGCTTCTCCCTCAGTGTATCCTGACTCCCCTGTACTCATTCACATCTGTTCCCCAAGCTCTCTGAGCACCTGCTTCCAGCGAGCCCAGCTGGCCTTATAGACTGAGTCTGTCCAACCTGTTCTTGAGACAAACAGGGGCCTCAGGTGTGGGTCCAGAGGATGAGTCCTCTGCTATAAGAAAGAGGATGGGCAGGCATGGCCAGGTGGACCCTCAACTCAGTGACAAGCATGTCCAGCTCCATGTTGTCAAGATTCCTTGCTTTCCAGGGGAAGCCAGTGACCTGGACTTTTTATATGTACTCTCCTATTTCTTAAGAATCGGATAACTTCTCAATCCTGAGCAAGCCAAATCAAACCTCACTGCAGGCCAGGCTGCCTGGGGCAGACAGACAGGCACGGATGGAGGCAGTAGAGCCCCTTGGGCATAGTTGTGACTACTCCTCACTCCTTGAGCAAACATTCTGATTTCCTTGGTGACAGAGCTCAGTGGGTCCATCCTGGGTTCTACTCTGAGGGAAATGTCACTGTAAGAAGGCTTGGTGACACTTGGTGCCTAGCTAATCCTCAGGTGGACTCAGTCAAGATGTAACTGCCAGGAGACTATTGGGGCTTAAGATGCCCTTCTAGTTCCCTCCCTGATAGGCTCCTCCAGGTCCCAGGCCACTTTTGCCTATACCAGGTCATGCCCACCCTGGCTTTCTACTCACCATGCAGATCTCAGTTGCCACAAGGTAGCACAGCCTGTTGAACCATTTCACATAAGCCTCCAGGTTGTTAGTCTTGTCATTGAAACAGGGCTAGAAGAGACACACAGGACCCCATGCTGAGTCTCTGCCAGTAACTTATTAGAACATGAAGTCAGTTCATGGTTATAGACAATCTGGACAATGTGAAAATCTTAAAACCATCTGGAAACACCAATGATTTGGTATGTAGCTTTCCAATCTCTTTTCTATATATTTAAGGGTGTATTTCAAAATTATGTGTGTGTGCATACCCATATACACAGACACACTTGATCTTCATTGTTCATGGATTTTATACTTGCAAATTTGCCTACTTCCTGAATTTTATTTGTGATCCCAATAGCTTGTGTGGTTTTCATGGTCATTTATTCGTATGTGCAGAGGAGCCAAAATATTTGTCACTCATCACTCATAAGTGTTTCCAGTTGAGGCTGAACTAAAGGACACTCTGCCTTCTTATATCAGCCCTCACACAGTAAGTATCCTGTTTCTTATTTAGACTATTTAGAGTCTTCCCCCCCAAATTTTGTGCTTTTTTTGTGGGGGGAATTATTTAAATGTTTAATAAAGTTCCCAAGCATAGTGCTGAAGTGCCTTACTACAGAGGAAATATATTTATATAGTTGAGGTAAAGAACAAATATGGAAGCTTGAATTAAATTATTTGATAATATTCATGAATCATATTGTACTATTGGTCATGAGTTCAATGTTAATGATATATATTCATATATATGAAATAAGGTGTCTTTAAACATGGAAAACAGGGTTATATACATTGATAAGTTGACAAAATGTGATAAGAATCTCGTAGGAATGTAACCCTGTATTTTCCCTAAAAGTAAGCGTTCAGTATTTGCTAATTCAATATTTGAGATGATATTATAGAACACAGCTACTGCAAATAAGGAGAATCAACTCTCCATGGGAATATATGCATGTATCTATAATTATACATATATGTTTCCACATTAATCTTTTCCTGGGTCAAAAAATATCCTTTGAAGACATAATTTTAAAATTTGTGTAGAAAAATAAAATTGGTGTAGAACATTCATGTATACATATAACTGAGCTTAACAGATTAAACTTAAATGTGTATGCTAAAACTGCCAGGATAACTTTGAATAAACAGAGTGGGGGATTAAATGGATTAAAGTTCATATAAGAACTCAAAGCAAACTAGGAAGGAAAGGGTACTTCCTTAAACGTGCATCTATAAAATCTATTAATCCAAAAGATGTAAAGAAAGGAGAAAGAAATAGAAAATGTAAAGGAGACAAATAAATAGTGTAACAGAAGGTAGTAAGAGCAAATCCTTATGGATTAATAATCGTTTAATTTTTAAAAATTCCAGTTTCTTGTCAATTTCAAGATTAAAAGTCAAGGGTAAAATAATAGAAAAATATGTATGTGATAAATATCACATAGCTATTTAGATGGTTTCCAACTTTTGATGTTTTGATACATTTTCTCTACTTTATAATAGGTTTATCAGGATGTAACTCCAACTCAAGCCAAGCAGCATCTTCATTAATGTCAGACAAAAGAGATTTTAAAGCAAAAAGGAAAAAGGAATCTACGGCCAAAAGCATTAGAAGAGATGAAAGACTAACTCCACAACGATAAAGTTTCAATTCATCAGGGATATGTCAGAAGTCTAAACTCTGGGTAAAATAGGGTCAAAATACGGAGGCAAAGTAATCAGAAAGGTGACATTCCTTATTAGGAGAAGTTAAGTTCTATTGTTACAATCAAAGAGCTTAGTAAATATGCCAGAAATTAATAGGTTAGGAAGACTGGAAAATAAAAAAAAACAGTATGAATATAAATTTGAACAACACAATTTATATAGTTGAGGTAAGAAACAAATATGGAAGCTTGAATTCAATTATTTGATAATATGCATTATTTTCAGACATTTGGAAATCTAAGAACACGTTTAAAAATAATTATGGGTCTGGGATGAAATTATAATAAATTAGAATGGTAATAAAAGTACTAAAAAAGAAAACTTGGAAACTGTAAATAAAAATGTATATAAAGAGAAATGAATAGTCTTTTATGCTTTCACTAGAATAGAAGAAAGGATAAAAATAAGCTGAAATCCTACATTAGAAATCAGAAAAAGAATAACAGAATAAATCTAAAGAAAGTCAATGGAAGAAAATGGTAAAGATTGGAGAAGAAATAAATGCAATAGTAAAAGAAAGCTGCAATATTCAGAAACAACAGTCAAAAGCTTTTTATTTCTCTATGCATAACTTTATGTCTATAAGTGTGAAAGCTTAGGGGAAATGCGCAAATTCTCGAAAGAATATAAATTATAAAATGGACTTATGAGATATAAAAATATAAGCAGTCCTACAACCACTAAAACAACAACTAGAATAAACATAAAAACAAGAAAAACCTTGGATCAGTGAATAAAACCTCAAATAACAAATGAGGCTCAGTGGCAAATTCTATAAATGCTCCAAGAACAGGTACCCCAATATTTCATATAGAATAGAGAATAAGGAAAGAGAAACAGAGTAGTCAAGAATAATGTCAGAAAGGGAAATAACAGATTAATTTCACTCATGAATACAATTGCAGAAATCCTAACCAAAACATTAGCACACCCAATCTAGCCATGTTTGAAAAAAAAAAATAATGGCTTCATTTATCCAGTTTTTTGTATATTAGAAATGCAAGGTTGATTCAACGTTAATTCAAAAAACTAATATCATTAATCACTTAAAAGTTTAAAGGAGAAGAGAACATAAGAGTAGTAGGGTCCAGAAAAAGAATTTGATGAAATTCAATAACCATTCATATAAGAACTCTAAGTAAACTAGGAAGGAACAGGGTACTTCCTTAAACTGATAACACAGATCTAAAAAAAAAAAAAATCCAATAACAAACATCATGCTCTTTTGTGACTGGTTAAAAGCATTCCTATTAAAGTCAGGACAAAAGAAGGATGTCAACTATCAACACTTCTATTTGACCTTGTACCAGAAGTGCAGGTTAGCACAATAAGCAAGAAAAGCAAATTATATTGGATCAGGCAGAGTTATTCTGCAATAACTTACACTCCCAATATTTCAGAGACTTAAAATGATACAGTAAAGTCTATCTACCTTTCCTGTCCATATCAATTCAGTTTTTTTTAATATTTATTTTTTAGTTGTAGTTGAACACAATACTTCATTTTTACTTATTTTTATATGGTGCTGAGGATGGAACCCAGGGACTCGCACGTGCTAGGCAAGCACTCTACCACTGAGCCACAACCCCAGTCCTCAAGTCAGTTCTATTCTATGACTACTATGGAAATAAAAAGAATAAACCTTTGAAAGGAGGAAACAAAACTTAATTATTTGCAGATGATGTGCCTGCCTACAAGAAATCCTCCAAAGAATGGTGACACATTAATATAATTAGCAAGGTTTTATAATATTGTCAGATATAAAATTGATACATAAGAGTAAATTAATTTTGGGGCTGGAGTTGTGGCTTAGTGATAGCATACTTGCCTGGCATGTGTGAGGCACTGGGTTTGATTCTCAGCAATGCATATAGATGATTAAAATAAAGGTCTATCAGTAACTAAAAAACATATTTAAAAAAGCAAATTAATTTCTTATACCCAAAACAAGCAGATAGAAAATACAATTACTAGATATGAAAAATTGTGGTATATATGTGTATTAAGAATTGTAATGTAAAAAAAAGTTTATGTATAATGGCATTAATTGATGTGAACATACTTTATATACAGAGATACGAAAAATTGTGCTCTATATGTGTAATAAGGATTGCAATACATTCCACTGTTGTTGTGTATTAAAAAATAATAAAATCAATTAAAAAGAAAATACAATTACTACATAGTTGAGATAATATGTAATTATGGAAGCCTGTGCTTATTTATTTGAGAATATGCACTCTTTTTGAACATCCAGAAATATAAAATCACATTTTAAAATAATCTGTGAAAATCGTTTTTTTTCATATGCAGTAGTAAAAGTATACTAAGGCACCTAGGGCAAAAGTCTAACAAAACCTGTGTAACACATTTATGGAGAAAATTTTAAGCCATTTGAAAGATATGTAATAAACCTAAAGAAATAGAAGTAGATACTATTTTTATGGATTGAAAGAGTCAATAACATAAATCTGTCAATTCTTCTCAAATTGATCCATATTTAATATAGTCTAACAAAATCTTGGTAGGACTTTTCATATAATTTGACAGATGATTCTAAAATTTAAATGGAAAGGCAAAAGGCCCAAAATAGCCACGCCATTCCTCAAGAAGAACCTGGGGAATTTGCTTTACTGGACATGAAGACTCATCGTCACGCTATAGTGAAGAAGACAACGTGTACTGACACAGATCAGAGGATCCTGAAGGAAAAGTTTAGTAAATTTAGGTGGAGCTTAAGAATGCTTATTCATTAAAAGCCATGGTAATGAGAATGAGAAGTGAAGAAAACAACTAGAAAAATAAAAGGTTTAGTATCTAGGACATATTTCAAGTAAAAACAAAAACCAAAAAATTCCTTAAAAATTTTAAGAAAATTCACCAGTAAAAAACAGGCTAAAAATCAGAGATGGGGTATATCACAAAAGGAGGAAACGGAAATGGCCAGAACAGGTGAAAAGATACTCCATTTTCCAAACTTAAAAGTCTGACAATTTCAAGTGACTGAAGATGTGGAACAAGAATACCTCCCTACTGGGAGGTAAGTGGATACCTCACCTGGCATTACCTGGAAAGGCTGCCCACGTGCCTACCCTGTGACATAGTAATTCTCCTCCCTAGGTATGTGGAAGAGCAATAGTCCTCAATGTGTTGTCCACAGACTTCTCGGGGTCCCTGGTATACTTTCTGGGGAAAAGTATTTTCATAATAATTTGATCATATTCTTTTCCCCACTGTGTTGAGGTCTGCCCTGATGGTGTAAAAGCAATGGTGGGAAAAATTGCCCAGCAAAAGGGGGGGGGAGTGTGACTTATGGATGTCCTTAAAGAGGCAACACTTTCAAGTTCTATTCAGTCTCAGCCTGTGAGTACATGTTTCTTATTCAGTGTGACAAGATGGGGCATCAGTACTGAGCAATTTCGCTGTATACTCAAGTGTGGGGTTATCTTGAGGGCAGGACTTGGCTCACCCATGCACCGAATTGGCCATT